CGATTAAAAAAGACATTACCGGAATGATTGCAATTACATCACCCGGAAATTTTTGCACTAAATTTCCGTTCCTGGTTTTGTACAACAATGTCGCGCAGCTCCTTATTAAAAATTTTATGAAAAAGAAAATTAGAAAGCTCCAATGGACGTTAAAATTCATGTACGTTGCCTCAAAATATCAAGATACCTACATAAACTTTAATCACAATGAAAAAAGTCAATTTTTAATCTTTAACATTACTTCAATTAAAACAATTTTTGCATTATTGACGAATAGAGATTTGACAGTTACACCTTGAAAAAGGGCACAAGCCAATCTGTGAAACATATAATAATATAACAAGGATCTGTAGCTGTGGATATACAATTTTAATTTTAAACGGACATGAAAGACAAAGTTTAAAAATTTTGTTATTTATTAATTATTCATATTATATAAATATATACACTTTTTTTTTTTTATTTTGGATTCGTTGATATAAAATACAATTTAACATTTATTATTATTATTATAATTATTATTATTTATAATGTCGGAAAACAATTCTGCCAAAGATGTAAAAGAAACCGAAATAAATACAAGCTTTAAAGATACAATTTCTGCCATTAAAACTACAGCAGAAGTAATGAGTTGTTACATTCCAGTTCTTAATTCGATAACAATTTTATTTCAAAAAATTTATCAAGTTTATGAAGATTCAGAATGTAATAAAGAAATTTGTTTAATAATGGTAGAACGAGTTAAAGCAGCAGAATATTCATTGGATAAAATGATGAGAAGAAAAGAAGAGAATGAAAAATATTTTTGTAAACAAGATTATTTTTTTGCTTTTAAAAGATTTGAAATTAATTTAAAAAATATTAAAGATTTTACAATTAAAGTTTCAAAGCTTAAAGGCTATAGAAAGTTTTTTAGTGCAACAAACGTTAAATTTCAATATGATAATTTAACTAAAGAATATGATGCTTGTATGAAAGATTTACATTTTGCTATTACGGTTGTTAGTAAAGAAGAAAGGGATGCAGAATCACGAAAAGTTGATCAATCTCTAAAGGATATTGAAGAGGTACGTACAATTATCGGTTATTATAATTAATTATTAGTCTACCAATAATAAATTTTATTTATTTATTTATTTATTTATTTATTAAAGTCTTTCTTTATTCATTTTAGACTCTTGAAAAACTTGAAGGTGACATTGAAAATGCCGCTAATAAAATAGAAAAACTTGAAGGCGGTATTGAAAATGCCACAAATAAAATCGAGAAACTTGAAAATGGTATTGGAAGTAAAATGGATATGGTAGTTCAAGAAATTTCCATCATAAAATCACAGATTGATAAACAGCAATCAAACGAAATCAACGTACCAAAGATTGATTCAAAAGAACTAATTAATCCACCTTATCCTGAAAGCACTGACGTCCGTGGTTCACATCGTCCTCTTCAGA